CAGACCGGGGAGCCATGGAGTGCACGTTCGAAGGTAGTTTCGGAGGACCCCTACTGCTTTATTATGGTGCCCCAGCCTCCCCTGCCGGTTCCCGTCTGGGTTCTCACCTGGGGCGCAGGCCTGGAGGCTAGGGGACGGGAGGAGGAAAGACCCCTTCCTGAGCGACAGGGGTGCCATGTCCCTGCCCACTGAGGAAGTTGGAGGAGCACCCCCAACTGCACCCAAGGGAAGGTGTGCTTTGAGACCCGGCAGCCGGACCCGGGACGAGGGGGTGAGGGGAGAAGATGGCTTTCTGGGGTCCTGTGCTCCCCTGGGGCTGTGTCCGGAGGAAGCTGGGGGGCCACTTGTCCTTCCCTCTGTTAGGGGGTCTGGCCTGTTTTGTAGGCATCTCGGCCTCTCCGGGCTGACAGGGGGAGCCCTGGTTGTTAGTATTTTTTCAGGGCCTCAGTTCCCGGTCTATCAACGGGGCTCACAGGGACAGGGGTGAGGGAGGGAGGTCCTGCCCCCTAGAGTAGCCTGCACAACCCTGCAGGTCCAGAGTGTTCCTATTTGAGGACCCAGGAAGGCTGGCCTGCGCCCCCTCCATGACCCATGGCCCCAGGGAGGACCCCTCCTGAGTAACTTTCCTGCCGGGCACCTCCCAGCTGCCTTGTGGGTAGAGCCTCGGGCAGCCTGGCCAAAGAGTTTAATCTCTTCTGTTGTACAGATGAGGAAACAGCCCCACGGAGAGGAGGAGACCGGCTTCACTTCCAGCTGGTGGTGGGCAGGGCTGGGAGCTCAGGCTGGGGCTTGAGAGAGCACGGGCCCCGGGGTTGTGCTCCTGGGCCTGGAGAGCACTTTGCCCCAGTGGGTGGCCGCCCCGAGTGGGGTAGAGGGCCTTGAGGTGAGTCAGCCAGGCTGCTGGTGGCCAGCTGGGGCTGAGGCTGCGTGTTGCAGTCGGCCAGGAGGAAGGGGTCAGTGGAGGGGAAAGCCCTAAGTGCCTGGGCCTGGGCTCTGAGGCCACTTGGCAGAGGACAGGGCCTGGGCTCATGCCCGGGACACACAGAGACATGCCGCTGGCTCTGTGGTCAGCAGCCGGCTCAGCCCCAAGCCTCGCTCTGTCCACCGAGTAATGGGTCAGTGGTGTAGCTTCGTCCTCAGCTGCTTGGCCAGGCAGAGGTGACATGGTTGGCATCTAGAGACATGGACCTGAAGACCAGTGCGTGCTCTGGGGCTGCTTGTGGCCTTCTTTGAACCTCAGTGTCCCTTTTCATTTCTTCTTTAAAAAAGAATTATTTATGTAATTTTATTTATTATTATCATTTTTTCATTTGACCCAAGAGAGACAGAGAGAGAAAGAAAGGGAAAGTGAGAAAGCCAGCCGCCAGGTCTAGGACTCAAACCATGGTCAGCCATGTGGGAGTCCAGTGCCTTGACCATCATGCCACCTGCCGGCCCTTCAGTGTCCTCTTTCACCTCCAACGTGAGACCAGCACATCTGAGGCAGCCCGGGGCAGTGGCTGGTGGTTGGCGTTGGGGTCAGGTGGCATCTGGGCTCGGTGTTGTCTCAGTGCGGGAACAGAAGTAAGCACACCATTTCTCTGCTCTCTGGCTTTGTCCCTGCAGAACGGGGCCGATAGCACACCGCCCTCTCCAAGCGGGGGACCGGGGGGCCAGGGGGGCCAGGGTTCTAGCCTGTCCCATTGATGTAGGTGGCCCAGGGTGGGCCTGGCTCTTGGCCCATACCCACCCTAGTGATATGGCTACACACCTTTCGAGTCCTGTAGCAGGGATGAGGGCCCCTCTCCGACCTGGGGTCCTTGTCGGGGGACTCTCCTGTTTGCTGCTCCCTTTTGGGTCCTGTGCTGCCCCAGGGGCCTTGCAAGCTGGTCAGGCCCAGAGTGCCCACTTCAGAGCCTGAGCTCTCACCACCAGCCAGTCCCTGCCTGACCAGTGAGGACGTCCTTGGCCCACAGCGAACAGGCCTTCATGACACCAGGTCCCCAAGGATCCCATCATACCTGCAGGGCCTCGGGCCAACCCTGCTCTCCTGCTCCATTTCTTCCCCAGATAAGTTGGGAGCAGGGTGTCCCCCGTTCACCCCGAGGCAGTTCCCCCCTGCAGTGCCATGCCCCGCTAGGAGCTAGAAGGGAGAGACCGGGCCAGCCTCTGCCCTAGCCGCCTCCGCCCTCTGCAACTCAGTCCTGTCCCCCTCCCAGGGACTGGGCCTGCTGGTTCTGTGTGGCCTGTGCTCATGTCACTGAGAAATTGAGGCCCCGAGTGGGACCAAGGCAAGGCTGGACCTAGGCCTCTGGACCCCTTTTGATATGGGTGGGAGAGACTCCACCAGAGCCAGGTCCCAGGTGGAGTGTGATGGAGTGCGGGGAGGGCAAGGAGGCTGCTGGAAGGCTCGTCACCTGCTGGCCCGTGTCTGGAGCTAGCCTGAGCCCCCGTGCAGTGAGGCTGTGTGTGCGTGCAAGGACTTGGAGGTGCCCCATGAAGACATGGTGCCATCATTCACGCGAAGGTTCAGACTCGTCCCCGTTCCCCCGAGAGCCGCTGCCCGTGGGTCTGGGTGGTGGCCAGGAACAGCCTGGTGCGGTGTGGGCTCTCGGCACACACTGGCCACGTGGTGACTGCGTGTGGGTCTGTTCCTGTGGGTCGAGGGTGTGGGCGCTGTCCAGGCAGTACTGGCTAGTGGCGGGTGCGCAGGCTCAGAGGGGGCCATAGGGGCCCGACCTCCAGCTCCAGCTTGGCCCTGGCCTGGGCAAGCTCATGAGCCTCCAGGTTCCCGCGTCTCTGCTGTGGCCAGGGCTGTTTGGTGCCCTTGCAGCACCGGCCACTGCTCTGGCCACGTATCTAGAAGCTGGGCTCCTGGGGCGGCGCCCCTTCCACAGTGAGCCCTATGGCTGTGTGGGGCTGGGTGTGGAGCGCCCGATGCCCTGCGGGGCCACCCTCTTGCTGCGGAGGCTCACTGCCCCGTCCCCTTCCCACAGACATGCTGCAGCTCATCGACCACCAAGACAGCGCCTTCCCCGGCCTGTTCGACCCTCCCTACGCCGGTGCTGGAGCAGAGGGCACGGACCCGGCCAGCCCCGAAGCCAGCTCCTCAAATAGCCTGTCCCCACCACCTGCCACACTGGGCTGCCCTCTCGAGGGCTTCCTGGGGGGACCCAAGGCTGCACCTGCACCCTTGTCCCCTCCCCAGCCTGCCTCCACCCCCATGAAGATGTACCCCACTGTGCCCGCCCTTTCCCCTGGGCCTAGTGTCAAGGAAGAGCCAGTGCCACTGACCATCCTGCAGCCCCCTGCCCCACAGGCCCTGCCCGGGGTCCTCCTGCCCCAGAACTTTACTCCTGCCCCGCCGCAGTTTAGCTCCACCCCTGTGGTGGGCTACCCCAGCCCTCCTGGAGACTTCTCCACAGGTAAGGGGTAAGGTGGGGGTTGGAGGTGGGGTCTGCTGGGTCCTGGGCGTTAGAGATTGGGGCTCCACCGGCCGGCAGGCTGTGCTGCCGGTAGAGAGTGGGGCTCCCACCGACGGCAGGCACCGGGCTTGCCTGCCGTTGCTGGCGAGCGCCGCTCCATGCAGGCCTGGCTGGAAGCACGCGCAGCCCAGGGAGTGGCCGTCCAGAGAGGACTCGTCCATGGTGCCACGGAGAGGGGTGCACGTGGGCAGGGGCAGCCCGGCTGCAACCAGGCTTTGTTTCCACAGGGACCCCTCCCGGGACTCCCCAGCCACCACTGCCTGGCCTGCCACTGGCTTCCCCACCAGGGGTCCCACCCAGCTCCCTGCACACTCAGGTCCAGAGCGGGGCCCCCCAGCAGCTGCTGACCGCCACAGCTACCCCCACGGTGGCCCCTGGGACGACCACTGTGACCTCGCAGATCCAGCAGGTTCCGGTGAGGGGGTCTGGCCGGGCGGCGGGAGGCGGCCGCCCTGGCCCCGCTCAGCGCTGAAGACCCCGGCCTCTCTGTGCTAGGTCCTGCTGCAGCCACACTTCATCAAGGCCGACTCCCTGCTCCTGACCACCGTGAAGACGGATGTGGGGGCCACCGTGAAGACGGCGGGCATCAGCTCTCTGGCCCCCGGCACAGCTGTGCAGACCGGGCCCTTGCAGGTGGGGACACGGCCACCCGGGGCAGAAAGGCGCAGGGTCTGCGTGCATGCCCGCCTGGTAACCTATGGGCCCCGCAGACCCTGGTGAGCGGTGGGACCATCCTGGCCACAGTGCCTCTGGTTGTGGATGCCGACAAGCTGCCCATCAACCGGCTGTCCGCCGGCAGCAAGGCCCCAGGCTCGGCCCAGAGCCGTGGGGAGAAGCGCACGGCTCACAATGCCATCGAGAAGCGCTACCGCTCCTCCATCAACGACAAGATCGTCGAGCTCAAGGACCTGGTGGTGGGCACTGAGGCCAAGGTGTGAACAGAGGCACGGGCGGGCAGCCGGGGAGGGAGCTTGGGCCCAGCCAGCCTGTCCCCTCGGCAAAACGCCACGAGGGCCTGTGCAGTGGGGGAGGGGCTCTGCGAGGCACTGCAGAGCAGCGGGTGGGACAGACAGGCAGCAGTGCTCCCAGGAGAGGTCCCTTCTGGGGGGCCGGGACAGGTGGGTGCTCCCCGTGGTGACAGCGGACAGAGGTCAGTGGAGCAGGAGGGGAGTGGTGAGAGCTGTGAGTCTGAACGGGCGGCCAGGGAAGGCTAAGCTGATGGGTGTGTGCCCAAAGACCTGCAGTAGCGGGTCAGGGAGGCATGGCGCCGGCAGGGACGCGGCAGACGCTGCTGTGTGCACATCGCTCGTCTGGCCTTGTGCCGTCCCGGGACACAGGTGCCCCGGGGACAGCAGCCCAGGCAGAGGAATGCATGTGGAGGTCCTGCCGTGCCCCACCACGCCCCCTTGCTGGGCGCCTGCAGCTAGGCCTGACCTGCCACCTGCTCTCTCCCTCCCACCCCTGCAGCTGAATAAATCGGCCGTTTTGCGCAAGGCCATTGACTACATTCGCTTCCTGCAACACAGCAACCAGAAGCTCCGGCAGGAGAACCTGAGCCTGCGCACTGCTGCCCAGAGAAGCAGTGAGTGCTGACCCCCTGCCCACGCCCACCACCGACCCTGCCCCTGCCCCTGCCCCTGCCCCCGCCCCTGCCTCTGCACTTCACCCCCAGCCCGGCCCACCCCCATCCAGCCACTGACCCCTGCACGGCCCCCCGGCCTGACCCCTGCTCTCAGTCACTCTGGCCCTGCAATGGCCCTAGCCTCTCTTTCGGGCCTAACCCAGCCCTGTCTCAGCTTCTCCTGCCTCAGGACTAAGCCAACCCCTGGCATCCTCTCCAAGGCCATGAGCTCTGGCTTGGGCGGGCCACCCAGCCATCACGCCAGCTCTGCCCCTTTCGGCCCACAGAGTCTCTGAAGGACCTGGTGTCAGCCTGTGGCAGTGGAGGAAACACCGACGTGCCCATGGAGGGCGTGAAGCCTGAGGTGGACACGCTGACCCCACCACCCTCAGATGCTGGCTCGCCCTCCCAGAGCAGCCCCCTGTCCCTTGGCAGCAGGGGGAGCGGCTGCAGTGGCGGCAGCAGCGACTCGGAGCCTGACAGTCCAGTCTTCGAGGACAGCCAGGTCAGGCCCTGCAGTGCCATTCCTCCCACGCTCCTGGGATCCCCTCTGGGAGCCCGACTCCCCTGCCCCGCCCTGGGCTCCCAGCTCCATCCTCACCACCTGCCTCCTCTCCAGGTGAAACTGGAGCTGTCGCCCTCTCCGGGCAGCCGGGGCATGCTGGACCGCTCCCGCCTGGCCCTGTGTGTGCTCGTCTTCCTCTGTGTGTCCTGCAACCCCCTGGCCTCTCTGCTGGGTGGCCGGGGGCTCCCTGGCTCCTCGGGGTACTCTGGTGCCTACCATGGCCCTATGCGTAACACGCTGGGCACGGAGGGCAGAGGTAGGAATGGCCTGGCCCCCTGGGGCTCTGGGCTGGGGGTGCTGTGGGTCTGGGCCTCTGCTTTCCTGGGAGCCGTGCCCCAGCCCTGCCCTCTGCCCTCAGACAGCTCTGGCTGGGCGCCGTGGCTGCTGTCCCCGCTGGTCTGGCTGTCCAATGCACTGCTGGTGCTGGGCGCCTTGGCGCTCCTCTTTGTCTACGGCGAGCCGGTCACGCGGCCCCACTCAGGCCCCGCCGTGCACTTCTGGAGGCATCGTAAGCAGGCTGACCTGGACCTGGCCCGGGTAAGGGGCCAGCCCAGGGCGAACGGGCACAGGGACCTGGCGGCATCCAGATCCCAGGCGACACCCTCCTTCCTGCTCACACTACGCATCTGCCCCTCCTCCCCACTGTCACCCACCCTCATCCCGAGGAGCCCTGAGGGCGTGCTTTTCTGAGACGGGGAGGCACTCTGACCCACTTTTCTCATCTGGGAAACCCTCCTCCCAGGGGGACTTTGCCCAGGCTGCCCAGCAGCTGTGGCTGGCCCTGCGGGCCCTGGGCCGGCCCCTGCCCACTTCCCACCTGGACCTGGCCTGTAGCCTGCTCTGGAACCTCGTCCGCCACCTGCTGCAACGCCTCTGGGTGGGCCGCTGGCTGGCCGGCCGGGCGGGAGGCCTGCAGAGGGACTGTGCTCTGCAGGCGGATGCTCGCGCCAGCGCCCGGGACGCGGCCCTCGTCTACCATAAGCTGCACCAGCTGCACACCATGGGTACGGCTGGGTGTGGGTAAGCCCGAGGGGCCCCCTGCCGCCAGGACGCCAGCTCCAGCCTCACGCCCGCCTGCTTTCCAGGGAAGTATGCAGGCGGGCATCTTGCTGCCACTAACCTGGCTCTGAGTGCCCTGAACCTGGCCGAGTGTGCAGGGGACGCCGTGTCCGTGGCGACGCTGGCCGAGGTCTACGTGGCTGCTGCGCTGAGAGTCAAGACCAGTCTCCCACGGGCCCTGCATTTTCTGACAGTGAGTGAGGGCAGGTGGGGTGTGGGGTGAGGCTACACATCTCTGCAGCTCTCACTGGGGCCCCCCAGCCCTCCGGGGCCTGTTGAGCAGCTGGTTACCCCGCTGGTCCCTGCCAGAGCTGGGTCTGCACCCTGACTAGTCCGTGTGACAGCGCAGCTCCCTCCCCCACAGCGCTTCTTCCTGAGCAGCGCCCGCCAGGCCTGCCTGGCACAGAGTGGCTCCGTGCCTCTTGCCATGCAGTGGCTATGCCACCCCGTGGGCCACCGCTTCTTCGTGGATGGGGACTGGGCTGTGCGCAGCACCCCGCGGGAGAGCCTGTACAGCCTGGCCGGGAACCCAGGTACTCCTTCACCTACGCCCTCGCCCTCCCTCCTGTTCCATCCCTCAGCCCCATGTCCCTGGATGTCCCCACTCAGTCTGTCACCCCCCGCCAGTGGTAGTGGCTGTGGGTGCCGTGGAAAAGGGAGGGCTGCTAGTTAAGTGGGGAGGCCTTCCCATCCACCTGTGGGGAGTGCAGCTGGGCTGGACGGGGGCGGAGCCCACAAAGGCGTGGTCCCAGTAGGCTGCAGAGGCCAGCGCTGGTCTGTTTGTCCACCAGCTGCTGTCTGTCTTCGGCAGGGCCCTGGCCTCGGCTGTACAGGGGACCTGGGACCATGGAGAGGAAGAGCAGGCCTGTCCTCTCACCCGCTCCTTCCTTCCCACAGTGGACCCACTGGCTCAGGTGACCCAGCTGTTCCGTGAACATCTCTTGGAGAGAGCCCTGAGCTGTGTGGCCCGGCCAAGCCCCAGCCCAAGCCCTGGGTCAGCTGATGGGGACAGGTGAGTGTCCCTGGGCCTCACTGCACAGGGGGTCTGAGGAGGACCCACATGTGTGGGCAGAACCCGTGCTGCTGTCCCTCGTGTGTGTCCTCAGCTCCTCTCGCCCCACAGTCCAGTGGAAGATAGTTCCCCTTTGTAGATGGGGTCGGTGGGGGAGGTCAGTGCCCTCCCAGGATCCCGGGCCCTGCCGACCCTGCTGAAGCCAGCCCACGCCCTCCACAGGGAGTTCTCGGACGCCCTCGGGTACCTGCAGCTGCTGAACAGCTGTTCCGATGCTGCCGGGGCTCCTGCCTGCAGCTTCTCCGTCAGCTCCAGCATGGCCACCACCACCGGTGAGCCCCCGGGCTCGCCCACCTCCCACGAAGCCCCGGGTGCAGCCTGGCTGAGGGCTCAAGGGCCCCTCCTTCCTCTCAGGTACGGACCCAGTCGCCAAGTGGTGGGCCTCGCTGATGGCTGTGGTGGTCCACTGGCTGCAGCAGGACGAGGAGGCGGCCGAGCGCTTGTACCCGCTGGTGGAGCACCTGCCCCGGGCCCTGCAGGAGTCTGAGTGAGTGCCTGGCCTCATCTCCCTGCCCCAGTCCCCGGCTGTCCACAGCCCTCCCTGGCCCTCAGCAGTGGCCCTCCACCCGGCCTTAGGCAGAACCGAGGCAATGGGGCCAGGGGTTCGGTGAGGGGCCGCGGCCTGTCTGACTGGCACTCCTCCCTGGCCCTGACAGGAGACCCCTGCCCAGGGCAGCTCTGCACTCCTTCAAGGCTGCCCGGGCCCTGATGGGCCAGGGGAAGGCCGAGTCTGGTCCGGCCAGCCTGGCTCTCTGTGAGAAGGCCAGTGGGTACCTGCGGGACAGCCTGGCCACACCAGCGGGCAGCTCTATTGACAAGGTAAGGGGTGTAGCCAGGGACTGGCAGTGTGGGGGGCCACAGCTTTCTTCCCATGGAGAGGGGGCTTACCCTGAGCAGTGCAGGACCAGGGTCTGGCTGAGCCTTAAGGGGAGAGTGATGTCCCCTGGCCCAGCAGTGGGTGGGCACGGCCTGCAGGCCCTCTTTGGAAGTGGGCAGTGGCGTGGGGGCCTGGAGAGGCGGGCGGCCCCGCGGTGCATTGCTGTTGCATTGCACGTGTGTGGCGTGTGCAGTGCCTCGGCAGTGCAGCCCGGAGCTCGCCCAGGACCAGGGTCTGGCTGAGCCTTAAGGGGAGAGTGATGTCCCCTGGCCCAGCAGTGGGTGGGCACGGCCTGCAGGCCCTCTTTGGAAGTGGGCAGTGGCGTGGGGGCCTGGAGAGGCGGGCGGCCCCGCGGTGCATTGCTGTTGCATTGCACGTGTGTGGCGTGTGCAGTGCCTCGGCAGTGCAGCCCGGAGCTCGCCCCTGGCACCGTGGGCCCCCTGCCTGTCCCTCCGGAGCTGGAGCCCCTGTGACCCCGGCCTGCCTGCCACCCCCAGGCCATGCAGCTGCTCCTGTGTGACCTGCTTCTCGTGGTGTGGCGGCGGCAGCAGCCTCCGGCGGCGGCCCAGGTGACCCAGGGCACCGGTAGCGGGCCCCAGGCCTCGGCCCTGGAGCTGCGTGGCTTCCAGCGGGACTTGAGTGGCCTGAGACGTCTGGCGCAGAGTTTCCGGCCTGCCATGCACAGGGTGAGTGCCCAGTGGCTCCTCACCTCCCCATGCAGACATGGGGGCAGGGGGCGCTGGGCGGTGGGTGCTGTGCAGGGGGCGGGAGTGCAGAGCTGGGCCTGAGCCTCTGCTCTCTGGCCTCACCCCCAGGTGTTCCTGCATGAGGCCACCGCCAGGCTGATGGCAGGGGCCAGCCCCACACGGACACACCAGCTCCTGGACCGTAGTCTGAGGAGGCGGGCAGGTCCTGGAGGCAAAGGAGGTGAGTGAGCAGTGCCCCTGCAGGGGGTACCGATAGGTCCCGAGGGCAGCCGTGTGTGCGTGTGCGTGTGTGTGAGACAGAGCAAAGGACTTCGTGTGGGCACCTAATGGCCTCACCTCTCCTGACAAAGGTGGGGGTTGCTGTCATTTGCCAGTGCGGGGCTGTGTGATGGCGCATCACTGAGGCTGCGTCCTGTGGGACAGGCCTTGGGGGTGGGGGTTGTAGGCCATGTGAGTGCCGCGGGGATGGGCTGCGTGGGGAGTCACGGTGTGCCAGTGCTGGGAGGTAAGGGCGTGGCCTCTTGTGTCTGGGGGCGTGGCCTCTGGCGCACCACCCCGAGGGCGTGGCCCCGTCCAGGCCTCGCCTTTGACGCGGCCCCTGTACGCAGGCGCGGCGGTGGAACTGGAACCGCGGCCCACGCGGCGGGAGCACGCAGAGGCTCTGCTGCTGGCGTCGTGCTACCTGCCGCCTGGCTTCCTGTCGGCGCCGGGGCAGCGCGTGGGCATGCTGGCCGAAGCGGCGCGCACCCTCGACAAGCTCGGCGACCG